AATAGAATAAAGGTTAGTGCCAAATATTTAGCCGACCTCTATTTTAAATGCTCCAAACTCTGACTAGGGCACAGCCAACCTAGTTACAGAGGGTTCAATACGAAGTTCTCCTATGAAACTGTCTCATAAAGGAGTTATATGAAAAGCAGTGACCCCCAAAGCCATCAACAGGAACAATATGAAGACTCTGTACAAGCAAGCTCTAATAAAAAAATCTAGCAGGCATCCACTAACATCAATAAATAATGTCATCAATTATTATCAGAACATGTTCCACAAAATGACCCAAGCATGAATTTCTGTGAAGATATAACCACAGCTAACATTTATTGAGAGCTCATTATATTGCAGGCACTGGTCTAAGTTCTTTACATGTATCATTTTATTCAATCCTCATAATAACCTGGTGAAATATGTTTTCTATTATTTCCATTCTACAAGTGATAAAACTGTAGCAGAGAAAGTTAAATAATCTGCCAAAGGTCACATTGCTAGTAAATAAACAGTAGAGCCCGGAACTGAATGCAGGCAGTCTGACTCTAGCACCTGTACTTTTCACCACTCAGCTACTCCTTTCTGACGTTCCATACGTCCCTAATGGAGAAATTTTGCGAAACCTCCAGAGGAAATACGTTTAGCCTATAAGCTTCCACAGTTTATGTCCAGAGGAGCTTCTAAGGCATGAAGTGCTCTGTATTCAAAGTTCTAGTTCAGTACCATAGTCTAGCTGGTAACTGAGCATATGGGTAACCTTCAGGAATATGAAATTTCAAAATGGGCCTACAATATGCACGGTAATTCATGTATGTGACATCAGTGTACGGCAAGATGAGGCAGCTTGGGATGAAAAAAAAATAGTAGTATCATTTTCCTTTTAAATATCTTCAAATAATCTGTTAATTGACTATGATATATAATAAAATCAAGTTAAAATTATCCATACCATTGTTTGATTGGTAAATTAAAAGTAATTTCTTGCCAGTGTCTCTGAGCTTCATAATCACCAAACATAGGGGGCTTTCCAGCACCTAAGATGAAAAGTAATAAAGAGCAAAACAACAGTATACTTTAGTATATCAGGGTTTTTATTTCCTTATTAAAATTTTCTAAATTATAAAGGTAGTGTAGGTAATGGAAAAAAACACAGAAGTTACAAAAAAAAAAAAAATCAGAGATGAGGTCTAAATCCTAGCACAGCTAGGACACTGAGTCACTGTGTGATCTTAGGCAACACTTAACCTCCCTAAGTCAGCACATTAAAAACAGGATCAATACTACTCACCCAGAGGACTACTG